AAAAAAAAAAAAAAAAAAAAAGAAAAAGAAAGATAATATTTTAATGGGCAAAGACCTACCAGGAATATATTCCAGATAAAAACAGTGTGAACAATGTAACAAAGAGACAAGATTTCAGGGATTAATGAATACCCATTTTGGGTGAATTAAAGGAAGTATGGAGGTGGGTGGGTGATGTAGTAAAAGGAGATAATAATGTTCCCAGACAGGTACAGGGTCTTGACTTTAACATTAAGGTGTGTGGACAATATTCTGTTTACAGTGGAGGAACACGAAAGACAGCTCTTCTTTATTTTATTTTTTTATTTTTATTTGAGACAGAGTCTCACTCTGTTACCCAGGCTGGAGTGCAGTGGTGTGATCTTGGCTCACTGTAACCTCCGCCTCCCAGGTTCAAGCAATTCTCCTGCCTCAGCCTCTGGAGAGCTGGGACTACAGGCACATGCCACCATGCCCAACTAATTTTTCTATTTTTTAGTAGAGACAGGGTTTCACCATGTTGGACAGGCTGGTCTCAAATCTCAGATGATCCACCTGCCTCGGCCTCCCAAAGTGCTAGGATTACAGGTGTGAGCCACTGTGCCCCACCTAAAGACAACTCTTGAAGGACATGATCAGAACTGTGATATTTTAGGCCAGGTACGGTGGCTCATGCCCGTAACCCCAGCACTTTGGGAGGCCGAGGCAGGCGGATCACCTGAGGCCAGCAGTTCTTGACCAGTCTGGCCAACATGGAGAAACCTTCTCTCTACTAAAAATACAAAAAATTAGCTTAGCACAGTGACATGCACCTACAGTCCCTGTTACTTGGGAGGCTGAGCACCAAAATCGCTTGAACCCAGTGGGTGAAGGTTGCAGTGAGCCGAGATCGCGCCACTGCACTCTAGCGTGGGCAACACAGCAAGACTCCATCTCAAAAAAAAAAAAAAAAAAAGAACTGTGATAATTTTAAAAGTATTTCTGTAGCTGTGTATACACTGGACCGTAGTGGTATGGTAGTTTTAAAATATGTCTACAAGTTCTTTGGCACTCTTCCCTTCAAATAATGGAACCTAATTCCCCACTGCTAGGAATGTAGGCCAGACTTAAGGATTCACTTTTAACTATTAATAATAAAATATGGTAGAAGTAATGCTATGTGACTTTGAAGGCTAGGTCATGAAAAAGATAGCTTCTGTCTAGATCTTGTTCAGATTATGCACTCTGGGTGAAGTCATCCACCAAGTCATGAGAACACTCAACCAGTTTATAAAAGGGCCCATATGCGCTAAGCGTAGTGGCTCACGCCTGTAATCCAAGCACTTTGGCAGGCCGAGGTGGCCAGAACACTTGAGGTCAGGAGTTCCAGACCAGCCTTACCAACACGGTGAAACCCTGACTCTACTAAAAAATATATATATATATATATATATACACAAAAATTAGCTGGGGGTGTTGGCGTACACCTGTAATCCCAGTTACTGGGGAGGCTGAGGCAGCCAGAATCGCTTGAACCCAGGAGGCGGAGGTTGCAGGGAGCTGAGATCGTGCCACTGCACTCCAGCCTGGGTGATGGAGTAAGACCCCGTGTCAAAAAAAAAAAAAAAAAAGGCTCATAGGAGGAGAGGTCTCCCACTAATCACCAGCACCAACTTAACAGTCACTTGAGTGTGCCTCCTTGGAAGCAGATCCTCAAGCTCCAATCAAGCCTTAAGACAGATGACTGTAACCTGTGCTATACTAAAGTATTTCCTCCAGAGAAATCAGCAAATGCTACAAATCAAGACCTTTTTTTTAACAGAGAGCTGCACACCAGTTTATATAATTTTTACCATGTGGCATGCTATTTTATGCACTTTACATATATTAACTCATTTAATCCTATAATAATTCTATGAAATAGTAACTCTTATTTTATTTTACTTTATTTTTGAGACATGGTTTCATTCTGTCACCCAGGCTGGAGTGCAGTAGTGCAATCACAGCACACTGCAGCCTCAATCTCCTGGGCTCAAGTGATCCTCCCACCTCAGCCTCCCAAGTTGCTGGAACTACAGGCATGAGCTACCATGTCTGGCTAATTTTAAAAAATTTTTTGTAGAGGTGGGATTTCACTATGTTGCCTAGGCTAGTCTTGAACTCCTGGCCTCCAAAGTGCTGGGATTACAGGCATAAGCCACTATGCCTGGCTGAGATACTAACTCTTACTATCCCATTTTACAGATAAGAAAACCAAGGTATAGAAAAGTTAAGTAACTTCCTATAGTTACGAAGCTGATTTCAGCTACTTGTTCCTGGCACTCACCTGTGCCACTTATTGAATTATCAGTAATGTAATAAAACTGTATTCCAAGCCAAGGAAAGTAAGAGAAAGAGCACAGCAAGGTAACATACATTTTCTGAAAGTACTCAGTGTTTCTCACCCCACTGACCCCTACCATAGAGCCTTCTAAATTTCTCTAAAACTATCATTCATCAGCCTAAACATTTTTATTTAGAAGTCTGCTACTTTTTCCCTGAGGTTTTGTAAGAACTTGTAGTTTGTTTCTTACTGAAGTCAAACCATAGGGTTACCTGCTGATAAACACAGGAGGATGTCTTGGCTGAGATTTGGTGAGTTCCCAAAGAAATCAGTGCTTAGAAAAAGAGAAGTCTAAAGTCAAGACCTTTGGCATCCAGTCTGTCTTCTCCTTTTTCTCTCAAATAATTTCTAAAATGTCAAAGAGAATTCTTTGCTGTCTCACAGGAGTAAATGTTTGCGAAGGCTTCTGTAGGCATTAAATAGTTAATTCTAATTTCCTTTTTGTAAAAAAGGAATGAAACTTACATCATCTAACTCTCTCTCCACTTGGATTTTTCTCCTCTGGAATTGTCTTACTGCTTTCAGCTCTGTGTGAATCATGCCAATTTCTTTGGCTTTTTGATGGAACTGTCCCTCTAGTTCATTGATTTGCCTGGTATACTTTTGTTCCTGTATTCAAAAAAGAGGTAAACGAGTTAGGAAAAAGAACAGAAGTCCCACAGAGTCATGTTTCATTTGAAGCCTTAATCCATTTGCATATCTTCTTTGAAGAAATACCCCCTTTTATTTTTTTTCTATTTGTATTTTATTATTATTATTTTTTTGAGATGGAGTCTGACTCTGTCGCCCAGGCTGGAGTGTAGTGGGGTGATCTCAGCTCACTGCAACCTCTGCCCTCCCAGGTTCAAGCAATTCTCCCTGCCTCAGCCTCCCGAGTAGCTGGGATTACAGCTGCCTGCCACCATGCCCAGCTAATTTTTGTATTTTTTAGTAGAGACAGGGTTTCACAATGTTGGTCAGGCTGGTCTTGAACTCCTGACCTCAGGTGATCCACCCGCCTTGGCCTCCCAAAGTACTGAGATTACAGGCATAAGCCACCATGCCCAGCCCTCCTTTTATTTTTGCATAAAGTTTTCATTTCTGTAAAAAGATACCATTTGTGTTGAATAAGAAAAAATTTTTGAAAAGTTTCTATATAAGCTGATTGTATAGAAAGGAAAAAATGCAGATGTTTATTAAAAAGGGATATGAGAAGAGTAAATACATCTTTTATCTCTAATATAAATAACATCCCAAACTAGTTAAAATTAATTAGCTAGGAGTCAAAGGGAGAGTGGTAAATATCCCTAATAAATAAAAAGGAAGGGAGGAGGAAGGAGGAGGATGAGGAAAGAGGAGGAGGGAGAAAAGGGGAAAGAGATATAAAAGAAGAGAGGAAGAGAAGGAGAAACAGGAGGAGGAGAGGGAAGAGAAAGTAAGAGGACAGAGAAAAGTAAGTGGGGAAGAAGGAAAGGCCAATAACAACAAACGAACAAAAGGTACTAAAATAAATGCAAATTGCCTTCCAATCTAGCTCCGAATAAGAGAAACATAAATTGGGCTGGGTGCAGTGGCTCACGCCTATAATCCCAGCACTTTGGGAGGCCGAGGCAGGTGGATCACGAGGTCAGGAGTTCGAGACCAGCCTGGCCAACATTGTGAAACCCCACCCCTACTAAAAATACAAAAATTAGCCGGGTGTGGTGGCAAGTGCCTATAATCCCAGCTACTCATGAGGCTGAGGCAGGAGAATCAATTGAACCTGGGAGATGGAGGTTGCAGCTGGGAGGTGGAGGTTGCAGTGAGCTGAGATTGCGCCATTGCACTCCAGCCTGGGTGACAGAGCAAGACTCCGTCTCAAAAAAAGAAAAAAAAAAAAGAGAGAAATGTAAATTGAAATGACACTGAAATACCATTTCTCACCTATCGCATTGCAAAAATCAAGTTTGAAGCCAGGCACAGTAGCTCACACATGTAATTCCAGCACTTTGGGAGGTCAAGGTGGGTAGATCACTTTAGGTCAGGAGTTCAAGACCAGCCTGGCCAACATGGTGAAACCCTGTCTCTACTAAAAATACAAAAATTAGCCAGGTGTGATGGCGGGTGCCTGTAATCCCAGCCAGTGGGAAGGCGGAGGCAGGAGAATCACTTGAACCCAGGAGGCGGAGGTTGCAGTGAGCCGAGATCGCGCCACTGCACTCCAGCCTGGGAGACAAGAGTGAGACTCTATCTCAAAAAAAAAAAAAAAAAAAATCAACTTTGACAAAAGACTCTGTTGGTAAAGCTGTGAGGAAACAGGCAATCTCATGCATGGCTAATGGTATTATAGAACAGTACAGTATCTATAAAGGGAAATTTGGCAATATCTAGAACAATTACATACTTTTCTTTGGTCTAGCAATACCTCTTACAGGAATCTATCCCAACGATATAATGGCCAAAATGTGAAAAGATATATGCTCTTTACTGGCACATTCATTGTAATAGAAAAAGACTGGAAACAATCCAACTACCCATCAAAAAGGGACTGCTATGAGCTGTATGTGTATACCCAAAAAATCCAATGTTGAAGCCCTAATCCCCAATGTGATGGTATTTGGAGGTGTGACCTTTGGGAGGTAGTTAGGTTTAGATGAGATCATGAGGGTGGAGCCTCCATGATGGGACTAGTGAAGAAAGAGATGAAGAAACCAGAGCTTTCTCTCTGACAAAAGTAAGGATCCAGCAGGAAGTGGCCACCTGTGAACCAGAAGAAGGGACTCCACCAAGAACTCAACCATGCTAGCACCCTGACCTTCTAGCCTCCAGAATGATGAGAAATAAATGTTTGTTGTTTGAGCACCTCAGTCTATGGTATTCTGTCATAATAGCCTGAACTAAGACAGGGATCATTTGAATAAACTATGATACATCTACATAATAATCATCACACAGCTATAAAAGGGAATGATGCCAGGTGTGGTGGCCTACACCTGTAATTCCAACACTTTGGGAGGCCAAGCTGGGATGATCGCTTGAGGCCAGGAGTTCAAGATCAGCCTGGGTAACACAGTGAGATCCCATCTCTACAAAAAATACAAAATTTAGCTAGGTGTAGTGGTACTTGCCTACAGTTCCAGCTACTCCGGAGGCTGGGGTGGGAGGACCCCTTGAGCCCAGTAGTTTGAGGTTACAGTGAGCTATGATTGTGCCACTGCACTCCAGCTTGGGCAACAGAGGGAGATCCTGTCTCAAAAAAAAAAACAAAAAACAAAAAAGGGAATGTCTCTACATATTGCTATGGAGTGATCAACGAGGTATACTGTTAAATTAAAAAAGCAGGTACAGGTCTATGTATATTGCATGCTACCTTTTATCTAAGAAAGATTTTATATATAATCTCTATATATAATCTCCTTATATATAATCTATCTATATATATATGTTTATGACTTTTTTTTAGCTTTTCCGATAAGGAAACAATTTCTTTAGCAACTTTTTTTTAAAGAGAGGATAAAACACAAAAGAAATAAAATGGTTTTCTACAGGGAGAGGGAGAAGATAGTGTGGAAAAGACATGGATAGGAGTTGGATTTCTCAGCACTTTGGGAGGCTGAGGCAGGCGGATCAAGAGTTCAGGAGATCGAGACCATCCTGGCTAACACAGTGAAACCCCATCTCTACTAAAAATACAAAAAACTAGCCAGGCATGGTGGCAGGCGCCTGTAGTCCCAGCTACTCGGGAGGCTGAGGCAGGAAAATGGAGTGAACCCGATAGGCAGAGCTTGCAGTGAGCAGAGATTGCGCCACTGCACTCCAGCCTGGGTGACGTGAGACTCCATCTAAAAAAAAAGGAAAAAAAAAAAGAAGTTGGATTTCTCAGCATATAACTTATTTTACAGACTTTGGAACCATGTAAATATTTTACATAATTTTATAGGCAAAACTAATTTTTTAAAAAGCAACCTCTAAGTCAGGTGTGGTGGTATATGCCTGTAGTCTCAGCTACTCAGGAGGTTGAGGCAAGGAGAACTGCTTGAGGTCAGAAGTTGAAGATCAGCCTGGGCAATATAGCAAAACTCCCATCTCTAAAAAAATTAAATAAATACAGTAAAATGAAAAAAAAAAAAAAACCAACCTCTAAAAATCAAAAGCAAAATATGTTGTTGAGTTGGTGGAATAACCTCATAGAAAAGAATTTCAAATGGTTCTTAAACCTTGCAATTTTATCATAGATCCTTATTGGTATATATCCTAAGGGAGAAAAATGCCCCTCAAAATCTTAAACTGTTTTCAGTAATTTATTTTTGGTGGTAATATTAGTATTCTGAGATTGATATATTGGGGTTTAAGCAACTAGGTAATTATATTGGTATCAGTAAGAAGAAGGACTTTTGTCAAGGGATAAAGGCGACAGAGATAAAGTTAAGTAAAAATTCTGTATTCCTGCATCTAAACTGAAAGTACTAGTATGGAGTTATGATCTCTTTTAATATTTAAAAAAACTTACATTGCCTAGCTCCATCCGCTGAAAAGCACTAGAAACAATAACAAATTCAGTATCAGGAAGCAATCTTAATATTATATGTTTTTTTACAATAGCTTTTTTTTTTTTTAATGAAGTTTCACTCTTCTCACCCAGGCTGGAGTGCAATGGCGTGATCTCAGCTCACTGCAACCTCTGCCTCCGGGGTTCAAGCGATTCTGCTGTCTCAGCCTCCCAAGTAGCTGGGATTATAAGTGTGCACCACCATGCCTGGCTAATTTTTTAATTTTTAGTAGAGATAGGGTTTCATCATGTTGGCCAGGCTGATCTCGATTTCATCATGTTGGCCAAGCTGATTTCATCATGTTGGCCAGGCCTTGGCGTCCCAAAGTGTTGGGATTACAGGCATGAGTCATCATGCCCAGCCTTGTTTTTGAATTTCTGTACAATCAAGCTTTAAGGTCATTAGGCTGCCCAGAGAACTTACTCACTCACTGTCATTGGGTCTTAAATGCCTAAGCTTGCCAGAAACCTGACCATCCAGTAAGTGGAGTATTAGTACACATAGATAACTCACCAATTTATCCTTTTCCTCTTGGGCTTTTTCCTTTGTTTCATTTAATTGCTGTTTCAGTTTTTCAATCTGTGGAAAATCAAAATACAAGGTCGGGAAGATAGAGAAACTGCTCTATATCTACCTTTATTAAGTGGACTAGTTTCACACAATACTAAAACCATTATGGTAAAAAAGGTGAGTGAGGCGGAAAGAGAAGAAGAGGGGACAGGAAATTTCCCATACCTTCAACCTGCTATTGCCAGTTTCTAAAACCTGGCTATCATCAGAAGTACCTGGGCAACTTTTTTTTTGTTTTTGTGGTTAAAAATAAAAGCAACATTAAATTTACCATCTTAACCATTTTAAACATATAGCTCAGTAGTGTTAAGTATATTCACGTTGTTCTGCAACAAATCTCTAGAACTTTTCATCTTACAAAACTAAAACTATACCCAATAAATCCTAATTTCCCCTTACCTCTCCCCAGCACTTGGCAACCATCCTCTACTTTGTTTCTATAATTTTGACTACTTTGGATACTTCATGAGTGGAATCATACATTATTTGCCCTCTGGTGACTGGCTTATTTCATTAAGCATAATGTCCTTGAGGTTCATTCATGTCATAGCTTGTGACAGGATTTCCTTTAAGGTGCATACTATTGCACCACATGCATACACCTTTTCTTTATCCATTCACCCATTGATGGATAATTTGGGTTGCTTCCACCTCTTGGCTATTGTGAATAGTGCTACAATGAATATGGGCGTGCAAATATCTCTTCAAGATCCTGCTCAGGGCTGGGTGGAGTGGCTCATGCCTGTAATCCCAGCAATTTGGGAGGCCGAGGTGGGTGGATTGCTTGAGCTCAGAGTTTTAGATCAGCATGGGCAACATGGCAAAATCCCATCTCTACAAAGAAATACAAACATTAGCCAGGTGTGGTGGCGAGCACCTGTAATCCCAGCTAGAGCCTGGGAGGTGAAGGTTGCAGTGGGCCAACATTACGCCACTGCACTCCACTCTGGGTGACAGAGTGAGATCCTGTCTCAACAACAACAAAAATCCTGCTTTGAATTGTTTTGGATATATTAAATATACCCAGAAGTGAGATTGGTATTTCTATTTTTAATCTTTTGAGGAACTTCCATACTGTTTTCCACAATGGCTACAACATTGTACAGTCCCACCACCAGTGCACAAGCGTTCTAACACCTCCACGTCCTTGCCAACCCTTATTTTCTGTTTTTTTGGCAGTAGCCATTCTAACGGGTATGAGGTGATATCTTGTTGTAGATTTTATTTACATCTCTTATCTGGGTAACTCTTTTTTTTGAGATGGAATCTCTCTCTGTCGCCCAGGCTAGAGTGGAGTGGCACAATCTCGGCTCAGTGCAACCTCTGTCTCCCAGGTTCAAGTGATTCTTTTGCCTCAGCCTCCCGAGTAGCTGGGACTACAGGCGCATGCCACCACACCTGGCTAATTTTTGTAGTTTTAGTAGAGACAGGGTTTCATCATATGGCCAGGCTGGTCTTGAACTCCTGACCTTGTGATCTGCCTGCCTTGGCCTCCCAAAGTGCTAGGATTACAGGCGTGAGCCACTGTGCCCAGCCTTATCTGGGTAACTTTTTCAGAAAAAAGTTTCTTTTTACTTTCTTTTGTTTTGTTTTCTTTTTTTTTTTGAGACAGGAGTTCTCGCTCTGTCACTCAGGCTGGAGTGCAGTGGCCGATCTCAGCTCACAGCAAGCTCAGCCTCCCGGGTTCACACCATTCTCCTGCCTCAGCCTCCCGAGTAGCTGGGACTACAGGCGCCCGCCACCTCGCCCGGCTAGTTTTTTGTATTTTTTA